AACATTTCGCTTTCCGATACTGAAAACCGCACCTTTTTAGCTGCTTCTTAGAAAAAGTTATCAAAGAAATGGCCGTGCTTCTTCTTTTTTGAAATGGATAATAGTACCTACAAGAAAATTACCTATAATCCCATTAGGCAAATGATTCACAATACTGATTTATTTCTACGTGCAGAGTTAGTTAGCAAGAAACAATTGTCTCAATGGCAGTACGAGCGACTAAAAACCCTCCCAGAAATATTGAGGGTTGCCTCATTTGTACTACAATCCAAAAGATCACAAGACAGGCGGACCGTTAAGGCTGATAGTTAGTGGAAACACATCATCGACAGCAATATTGTCTTCTTTTTTATACCAAAAACTGTGACCGATTTTTGATAGAAAGACTACGTTGATATAAAGAACACGTTAGAGAATTCGCTGAAATTTTTAGACTTACTTGAGCAGTATGAAGTCACGGATGCGATCCGTCAGTTCACCTTTNGTTCCTCCAAGCTATAACTACGTTTTTAGCTAGAAATAAGATTCCAAAAATAGAAGAAACTTCGATAGATGCTATTACTAAAATGCTACGTCATGCACTAGACGATTCATTTTTCATCCTAAAAGATCAGTGTTATAAGCAAATTAGGGAAGGACCGATGGGCAGCGCTGTTACGCAGATTTTAGCAGATGTTTACATGCAGAATTGGGAACAAGAACTGGTGGCTATACAGTTAAGCGAAAAAGAGCTGTACTTCCCATATCGAGATGACATCTACATAACTACAAAAGAAACGTTTTATGAGATGCTCGAGATTCTTAAACATATGAATGACAAAGACCCAAATATAAAGTTGACATATGAGACAAGTAACAATATCAACTACCTGGACATTCGAGTAATCAAAGACTCGGGCAGTAAACGCATTAGAACAGTTGTGCATAGGAAACCAGCGACGCAACCATACGTTCTCCCGTTCGAATCATCTCACCCTATGCACATCAAACAAAATATTGTTTACTCAGCCGTCCTTAGAGTCATTAGAATTTGTTCAGATGTACGTGACCTGGAAAAAGAGATATTTGCGATACGGATGGGACTATTGTTGAACCAATATCCGAGTAAATTTATTGATGAAAACATTGATCGACTAATGAAAGACATGAGATTGCGAAATTTAGAATCCATTTATGAAACACGAGTGAAATATGAATATTGCAGGGCAAAACTTCCGGAAGTCAACTAGAACCAATAGTAGAACAATAATAGTAAATAGACAGTAGACCCTAAAAATGATCTATTAATTCATTTTTATATTTGTGCCAACATTGACCAATTTCAGAGTAAAATTCTTCCAATTATGAATCTCTCCAGACGTCCAACTCCGTTTGAGCTCATATTTCGCTGATTGATATGCTACATGAGTATAACAAAAGATCCAAAAGGATTTGGCTTGTTGCGGCTTCCTTCCCGTATGCAGCAAAACTTTCGGACCTTACACTATAATCTTGAATTAATTTACAGTTTATAGAAAATCGCCCGAAAAATCGCCGGAGATTTTCTAGTTTATAAATTTCCTCGACGAATTTCCAGCTTTCTAGGAAAAAATGTTGATTTTCTACATTATAGAAAATCGAAAAGGTCCGGAAATCGGAGACGTTCACCAGAAATTTCTCAAAGCATGAGCGAGGTCCACCCCTATACAACCTGGTCGCGCCGCCAGTAGGGGGAGGCCCGCCAAGGAATTTCCAGTTTATAGAAAATCAAAAAGAAATTTCTACTTTCTTGAAAATTATTTATGGAAATTCAACGGCAATTTTCTAACAAACTGGAAATTCAAGGAGGAATTTCCAGATTCTCAGAAATTATTTATAGAAATTCAACGAGGATTTTCTAGCTTGTTGGAAATTGGATTTTCTATAAACTGGAAATTCCTCGGGGAATTTCCATAAATACTCTTTGAAATTCGCCGAGCATTTTCCATAAATAGTTTCCAACCTTACAGTGTAGTCTTCTGTTCTTCGTGAGAAATCGAATTTTCTGTTTTTCATACGGTATCCGCACTTCCTTGCGAACTGCCTTGTCTAATAAGTGAGAATTTTCATTATACACTGCCAATCCAATCATTATGCAGATTCAAGTTCAGTGCATCAAATTATCTGCTCAAGTCTATCTTTTAGTAGGAAATATACCACTGCTGACGTATATCGTGCCACACAGAACTTTTCCTGTGAATCAAATTAAGTGTATATTTCGAAACCAAACAAATCTAGATAAACATTTAGTTTTGTTTGTTACGCTTGTGTCTATGTCTTCATTCCGTTTTACTCAAGAATAAAAGAAGGATCATAGTCATTAAATAAGACAATGAAAGATGTACAGTACCAAGTTTGCACCTTGTCTCTTCGGAATTCTTCCTTGGTAGTAGAGTAACAATATTTGAATTAGAATCAATATTTTCATCACGCGAAGATGATATCAATTATATTGGTCCGAGATTATCATGTATCGGATAAAATTTGGATGGGGTCGGTACGGTACGCATTGAAACGTCTGGTTTTCTAGGAAATCACATCTGAAAGTGAGTATTAAAGTGTGAGCAAAAACCACACAAAGTACTGTGTGCTTTATTTTTTGAGAAGATACTCTGAAAAATATAAGTCAATCATTAATCTATAGGCAGGTGGTCTTTTACAGTGATTGTGAAACTTGCTAAAAATGGGTATGTTATGTAATCTACCCGCAGGATAGTTGGCATCTAGTCTTTAAGCCGACTGAGTGAAACTTAGTCGGCTTATTGCTATTTACTTGAGTCATGTATTCTTTCTTTCTTTAACCTGACTGAGTGAACGTAGTACACTTGTCGGCTTATTGCTTCTCTCAATCAAGAACGGTTTACTCGTAATTTGAGAAAAGATAAGAACGATTTACTTGGACTTTCGGAGAAACCTGAGGGATGATTTACCCCGATTTTGGTTTTTTCGAATACGAAAGTGCTGCTTTCTCCGAAAACTGATATTAAATGTACTCTTTGAAGATGCTTTCTTAACCGGCTTAGATGACTTATTTCTATTTTTTTCCGCCTACGTCTGAGAAAATTACAGTGACTATAACGTTTAGGCAAATTTAATGGGTGATGCTCATCAATTATTTATACTTCACCATGAGCTCGGAGAGTCAGGGGCTTATTTTTGGAGACCTTACTCCCATTCTGGACTTACCCCCCACCCCATGCTCCTAACCTCTTCGCGCCGCCACTGTCTAGGAACTACCTATTTAGAGTGAACGCAGTTAAAATTAAAATATGAATACGTCCGTATGGTAAACATGTCCCATTTGTGCAATATAGAGAGGTTTTACAGTATCAACATTAATTATATATTTGAGGAAAAGTTTTATTTTGAAGGTATAAATGATAGTTGATGTTTTGATCGGGTTTTTCATTATAGACGTATGGAAAAACTTGTATGTGGTGTTATATCATTAAATAAATTCATTACTCCATCTTTGAAAACTAAACAAAACACATCGCAATAGTGAAAACCGTTTATTCGAATAGTTCCACGGCTTAATCCTACTAATGAGATATTTTTAGGCAGTAATTCACACAATATTCGTAACTAACGGAAGATAATGTGTAAATTACAATAAAATATTTTTAATGTGGATAATTAACGAGTGATCTAAATCATAGAAAGTTCTTCTTTACGATCACTGCATTTTGAAATACATCTGATCGGTTTTGAGCCAGCTTTATCAGAGTGATTTTACTACAAGCACTAGCAATGATGTCATGTGTAATGTGATATTATAATAACAAATCTACATTCGATCAATCAGAATGGTAGAAAAGCTTAAAATAGAATCTTGAAAATATGGAAAGTTTCAAACCTTTTGTTGACCAAATGACTATTTGTTTTTATTCTTCAAATATTTTGAAACTTGATTCAAATATAATATACAAGACATAAAGCAAATCAAATAGCGTACATTATTTTTAAAAAAAAATAAGGTAAGGTGTGTACAATGTAATAAATATCAGTACGAGCATTTCTATTTACAACAATAACAATAACATGTCACCGGGACAAAAACAAAAACAAGTGTAGTTTGAAAGACAAAAAGAAAAGACAAAAAATAGTTGAATGAAAAATAAAAGACTATACACAATGAAAATCATAATATGACGGAGTGGGAATGTGTGAGTACAATTCAGTATTATTTATTTCATATAACGATGTTGGTGTTGAAAATGATGATAGATCGTTTAAAAATGACATTGAATAATGATTTGTCGATGATGGTGTAGGATAACAATTGTAGGAAGATGATGACAGTGATTGTTGTTGCTGTTGTTGATGTTTCATTGAGAGATGTGGTTGTTGATGATGAAAATTGAATGACATAGGTGGTGATAATATATAATGTGATGATGATGCTGCAGGTGTTGGAATAGATGGCACTTCCATTTTACATTGATTACGTGTAGTATTAGTCAACTGTTTTTTGGACTTTTTACGATTTGTATTAACACCAGAGTTTATATCTGAAGAAAAGATGATTTTTTACATGAGATATTTAAATAAAACTGTATGTCGTTATTTCTTACCACATTGTAATGGGAAATGTCCGAATAACCATTTTTGAAAATTAATTTCAGCTTGTGATTGTGGTATGATATTCTTTAAATATTGTTCATTTTTATGAGAAAGATAATTTTTATACGCTACGGCTTGAGGTGTTTGTCCAGACGAATTAATAACTTGTTGTTTGGCATTATTTCTCAATAAAAATATTGTCGTTTCAAAATTTAAACAACCAGCAGCTTTAAACAATGGTGTTTCATCCTAAAAATGAATAAATAAGTGATAAAAGTTGAATATTAACGAATATTTAATAACAACGTACATTTTCATCTAACGCTTCGATATTTGCTCCATTCTTTAACAATAGTTCAGCGCCTTCAATATTGTCGACAGATGCGGCCCAATGTAACGCTGTTCGTCCTGAAATCAAAATTAAAATCAAAAATAAGAAACGTTCATCGATGACAGTATAACTGAATACATACCACGCGGTTCTTTTTCCTCACCGTTAACTAGAAAAGAAAAAGAAACAAACGTTCATTAAAACTAGATACTGAGATTTTTACTATATGTTTTTATTGCTGCTAAAGGAAAGATGAGAGAGAAAGGAGTATAGTATACCTGTCTTATCGTATCTGTCATGAGCATCAACTTGAATATCTTGTCGTGTTAAAAGTAAACATTCAGCAATATCATTCATTTCTAATCGAATGGCTTTTCGTAATGGATTATCACCACACGGTTGTTCATATGATGTTTGACTAATGTATGTACATGTATTAACATCAATTTTAGGATATTGTAAAAGAAATTGAACAATATGTAATAATCCTGTACCAACAGCATATAATAATGGTGTAGCACCATTAACATCACGAGAATTAATTAAATCTTCTTCATATTTTAAGATTATTTCACATGCTACTATACGAGAGTAACGACAAGCTAAATGAAGTAATGTTTCATCATTTGGTGGTAATCGAATATTTAAATCACAACCATTATTAATTAAAAGTTCTAATTCAAATCGTTCCGCTAAACAATAATCAAAATAGAAACAAAATTAATTTAAAAAGAATAGTTAAAATTTATCATTCTACTCACTGGAATCTTCTTTTCCTAATGGATTTCGTTTCATAATTGCTAGTGCAATTGGTGTAATATTATTTGGTCCTGGATGATTAATTAACAATGTTGATTGTTCACTTGGTGGTGTAGGTATAGTAATATATGGTTCTTCTTCATTATTTAACTTTTGACGTTTGGTTTTTGGTTGTGATTGTTCACGTTCGAGTTCATTAATTTTTTTCGATGATTTTTGTATTTTATTATTATTTTTATCATAACCATTTCCCACAATATATTGATCTTTTGTTGGTGCTGTTGTTGTTGTTGTCGTTGCCCATGGTGGAAACCAAATTGGAGCATGAATGATTTTTGGTCGACGAATGATTGTATAGGATACCAGAGCAGCAATGAGTAGAAAACATGGAATAAAAAAGAGTAAATAAATTAATTTTGATCGATCTTTGACTTGTTCACTTTCCGGAACAATATTTAAATGTTTTACAGGAACACCTTGAAGTAAACGTTCAAGTTTTCCTTGTTGTTCGAGAGCAGATAAATAATCTCCAGCTTGTTGAATAGAATCAAAACAATTGAGTTTATTACTACTGGTTTTATTATTACACGACGTTTTTAATATATTTAAATAGATCTTAGTTCTAAACGCAAAAGAAAAAGAATCATAAAATCTCTGCAAGTTTCATGTTTCATAAACTTTTCAGTGACGAGTTTCAGTTATCATAGCAGTTATCATTCAGTTAAATAGCAGCAGTCTAAAATTTCTGTTATTGTCTATGTTCTTGGTTTTAAAAATTTCATAGCGATAACGATCAAATGATATTTTCGTCTCCAAGAAAAAAATCAGATAATCAAAATGGATTAATGAGTGATCAAAGAGATAAAAAAGAAAAGGAAAATGAGCACATGCCATTTCTACTTTACTCAAATAGATTTTAATCATGTGTTACATCCACAATGAAATGATTTTGAGTGAAATAGTTTTTTTTTCTATTTACCCTAATTGTTTTGTTTTATCTTTGTACGATGGTAATATAAGCTCACTTCCATCTTTATTCAAAGCCACTTTAACTTGACTTCGAAGAATATCAGCTACAAAGTAGAAAATATTTCTAACATAAGAGATGATAATAATTAATTTATTATTTACCTAGAGCATTTGTAAAATTAATTTTTTTATCTTCAAATTCATCTTTATCTAATTTTACTTCAAATATAATTGTTCCTAATAAATCATTTGAAAATGATGTTGGTTTCTGTTGACAATCTTCATAATCAAAATTACATTGAGGTGTATTACAGTCTGACTCACATAATCCATTACCGATAACGTTATCACAATAGGTTACACTAAAATCAAAAACAATTTTTTCGTTGATTTTACTGATAACAATTAGAGGATTATCGATACCGACACTCAGACGGTATCAGTATCGAGCGTTCGATGCCAATCTCTGTATTCGTATCGAGATATCATTTAGTTCGATAGTATCGAAAACTTTCGAAAGGAAGAAAAAACTATGGTTATTTTATCGACCACGTAGTATCGGTACCGAAGTATCGTTCAATTCGATACCGAACGTGGGATTGGTATCGAAAGTCTCGAAACCTTTTTTTAAAGTATCGAGGTATCGATACTCCCCTAACAACAATAAGAATGGAAATACTTCGATTTTTTTCTCCATGCAATTGCTACACTTACTTGCAGTGTGATTTTTGTTGTTCACAGTCTCCACCATCGTAGAAACATTCTTTTGTGTTACATTGTTGATCACATCGTCCATTATTAAATAATTGTGAACATAACTTTGCTTGTTTACATTTGTGCCACGGTTGTCGATTAAATGAACATTCACCTTTATCATAGTCACATATTTCAACATTACATTCTTGATCACATTGACCATTTTGAGATTTTGATGCACATTTATTTATTAAACAATAATCATCTTGTTTTGATTGATCATTTGTACCGATGTATAATTCACAATAAAAACCATAATAAGATGGTGAACAACGACAATAAGCATTGCCTACAAGAAACTACAAGAGTTTTACGTTTGTACTCATGCATAATAGATTTTTCCTACCGTCTTGTCTCACATTGCAGGTTCCTCCATTTAAACATGTAAACTCACTACATTTATTTGATTTTTCACTTTGACATGTTGGTGTAGCCAAAGTTGATGGACATAAACATAGATAGGATCCCAGTGTATTCTGAAAGATAAAGAATTAAAAGATAAAACTGATTTTCACGCAAACTATTCACTTACATAGCATGTTCCTTGCTTGGGACAGGGATTGTGTAAACATTCATCAATATCTTTATCACATTTATCACCTGTCCAACCATGAAAACATGAACATCGTTCATTTGTACAGTTTCCATATACACATTGTTCTCGTTGATTACATAATTTTGATGTTTGAACTGAATTTGGACGTGAACGATCACACGATGTTGATGGTGGATGTGACGGTGGACAATAGCAAAAATAACCTTGATTTGGATGAGGTAAATTCATACAGGTGGCATAGGAATAACATGGCGATGAGGCACAATAATCTTTGACATACAATTGACAATAACGACCAGAATAATCGGGTGGACATACACATTGAAAATTATTTGCACTTTCAGAAGAAAATGTTGATGTTTGAAGGCGAAGACACGTACCATTGTTTTCACAAGGATTTCTTAAACATGGATCAAGAACGATTTCGCATAAGGAACCACTATAACCTAAAATAAAAAAAAATTCTTACACATATTTTAATAGCAATCTATAGTATACAGACAGAATCAATACGAAAGATCAAAGTTAAGAAAAAAGTATATTCGACGCTTCTCTTCTTAGAAAAACGAAGTCAAAAACGAAAATAATAGATTATTCCAATATAAAGAGAGTTAGAGTGTTGTCAACCGTTATTAGATGAGTAATTGGTTTGCTCTTGTTAAAAAAAGAGATGTTCTCTCTAAAAAACTAGCATATAGAGACATAGTCTATTCTTTTATTAATCTAATATACGAATGTTTACTGTCTATTTCTGCAAGAACGACTTATTAAACTGTTTGTACAGATCAATAAACTTAAAACGACTGATTAGCTCATCTCTGTTCCTTAATGTCACCTATTACGATTCATATTTAAATTTCGAGATTGTACTCAACATCCGAGTCTATGTAAACATTCTCAAAATAAAAACAAAAAAAAACTTTAAATTATTTCTTCCGGAAATAAATGTCTAACAGTCAATTGTCAAAAGAATTCAAAGTTTCTTCACCTGTCCACATATAAACGTGGCGGTATATTTTAAAGCTATTTCACGTTCAACACACACACACACATAAATATAATATAAAGCGTGAGAAACAATGAAAAACGTAATAAGTCGGAATTCATTTAATTCAATTTTTTTTTTTTGTTTTGTATTGTATGTTTACTATAGGGATGATACGATCATAATTTTGTTTTCACTTTGTTTGATAAACACCGACGACAATATAGAGAAACGAATAAAAACACACACACACATATATATGCGCCGATTGCTGTCTTCTTCTCTTCCCTGTGAAATATTGATCAATAAAAGAAATGGCACAAACAATTAACAAATCGATAACGCTTCAATAACACGCGATCATTATCTTGTTGGCTATAAAATTATTTGCATAGAATTATCTTAACACTAATCAACACTTCCTCTTTTGAAAAAAAGAGAAGAACCGCACTTATTCAATTGTTATTACAAACAAAACTACTTTATTCATCAATAGAATACGACAAATAGAGATATAGATCATACACATTTTCAAAAAAAAGTCCTAAAATATTTCTGAAAAAAAAACGACGAAACGTTTGCTACACCATACATTAATGTCATCCTTCAAATTCATGTCATTTAAATCTCTTTTTAAATTCTCTTCAAAAAAGATATTTTATCTCAATTTTTAAAAATATAAAATTGTTTGAACAACTATTATGAATATTTTAATGTCTATTCAAATATCAAACATGTAAACATTTGTGTTGATACTTCACAAAATTTTGTTTTAAGATTAAATAATCTTTCTTTTAAATACAAGTACATATGTGTTACATACCTATCAGTTATAAAAAAACAAACAAATAATAATAAATAAAAAATTAATCATACTATCGAAATCATAAATTAACTGTAACTTGACATACACACTTATGCCAGACTTCACAAACTATCTCTAAATATCTTCACAATTTGTGTGAGAATATTTTTCTGGTGTGATGTATTTTACAAGCATATTTGTTACGGTTATATAAATTAATTAACAGTATGAGAAGAAAAAAGTTTGGCAATAGAAGAGTCAATGAATTTTCGTACATGTATCGCTTTTCCTATAGTGAAATAAAATAGACAAAACTATTCCCGTTTCAACTGAATATCCTCAAGCGTTCTCTTCTAGAACTTTCTGACTTCTGTTTTATACACATCGAGTTCTTCTTCAATCTTTAAATCGTGATTTGAGATGGCAATTTGTATAATAAAACAAACGTTTTCGGGAAGCAAAAAAAAAAGCTATTTTCTCTATAATTCTTTCCTGTAGAAAATAATAAATTACTATGAATTTCTATCATTGTTTTTTAAATATATAGATGAATATGCTTGTTAAACAAAGTGTGTTTCACCTCACTCATACTATAAACAATTAAGTCTCAAATCTAAACTTATTCTATTCATTGAACATCTAACCACTTGAAAAATAGAACAAAAAGTCTATTCATATCGTGAGAAACAAGAGAGATGCTCCTCTTTCTCTCTCTCTCTCTCTCTCTCTTTTGTAATTGAAAGGTGATTTGTATATATAAATATACATATGTTTACATGGAATTACAAAAAAACATACACTCATTCACTCTTCACATAAGAGATGAGCAAATTAATTGAGAATACAATAAACATAATAATAAATTTCATTTTCAAGGTTTTTTTATTTTTAAATAAAACCATATAGAAGCTTTAGCCATTAGTCATCTTGTAAAAGGCAAAAAAAAACGTTTCATACATTGAGAAGACACAACCATTCGTTGTCATTTTGTATTAACTTATATAAAAGACTTTTCGAATAAACCGCTTGTCAATAGCGTCAAGTCTTGGTGAGAAAGTGATAATAAATATCATTCTACTCTAACGTACGAAAAGCAATGATCAAGATAAGACACTGTGGCAACTGACACAATCAACAAAAATGTTTTTTTTCTATTCTATTGACAACCATCTGAGAATAACGTCATAATTGCTACTACTCAAAAAGCTACTCAGTTAAACGATATATATAATAGACTCTCTTTTACTTAAATATCTCATAATGTCCCATTATAGATTATTTTTCGATAGAAAATGACTTTTCTCATCGTTGAACGTCTAACTGTTTTCTTCTTTTCTTTTTTTTTTTGTTGTTGAAACAATATGACAATTTCCATTAACGATTGAATTTAAAAGTGGATAATTAGAGATGATCTTTTGAGATATACTCACCTATTGAACATGAACATATAAACTGGCCTAATCCATCAATACATTTGCCACCATGTTTACATGGAGATGATTGACATTCATCGATATTTATTTCACATTGTTGTCCACTAAATGCTTGTGAACATAAACAAGATTTGTAACCATTTTCAATAATACATGTACCATTATTTTGACACATTGAATTACATGATGGAGATATATGATAGGATATTGACAATTCTAAAAATAAATAGATAAATAGATCACATAGTTTATTAATTAGTTACACTGGAGAAGAGTTAACATACTCTCTCTAGACGTAAAAGACACAGTAGGAGGTTAAATGAACTGTAAATGATGCCTAAAGCACTTCATTATATTATTAAATAACGGGATAGTAGGAAGTTAATAGTTAAAAGGTACACAGATGTTTTGAGCTGAAGACTAAAATCCTCGTTTGAAATGTATTCCTCGACAAGAAAGAATAAACTATTTGATAGTTCACTCAGCGAATACTGTATTTTTATCCTACAAACGTTAAGCTATCAAAATACCATTGAAACTCTAGGAATAAATCCATTTAAACAGTTCGAGTAACTATCAGTATCTTTCCGATGAAACTACAAATTTTACTCACAGAAAGTTTCTGCTTGAGTGTGTTCAATATCTTCAAACACAAAAAGAGAGAGCAACAGTTGTTTGGATTTGATAATCGAGTATTTTTCTTAGTGTGTAAGATACATTTTCGTGAAATTGATACAAAAAATTCATTATACCTTTCAAAAAAATCAGTATAAATTATAAGAAACAGTTTAACTTACGTAAAATATTAGCAATAATTATTAAATCGATTGTTATCATTTTTTGTTTAAACGATTGTTGTTGTCGTCTATCAGTTTACAGTTAAAAATATATGTACTGCTTTTAAAATGTCATTTATCATATGCTTTTATTTTTTTATTTCAGGCACATCCGTCACGCCCAAAGAATAAGAACGAATATAATTTCTAAAATTTTTTTTAAATCTCAATTTTAGTCGAGAGAGCGATCACTTCTCTTTTCTCTTCTCTCTTGTTTTTTAATAGATTTCTATATCTAATAAAATTCTATGCAATAGAAAGAGAGAGAGAGAGAGAGAGAAGGTATATATTATATGTCACATACCTGTTACTGATCATCTTTATATTCTTCAACTCTTCTTTATAATAGACGACATATCTTTCTGTCATCGACTATTATGCCTAACGGCTACATCGAGAAGAGTGTGAGTTAGATGACTCTGATTTTTTTGTTGCATGAAAAAATCCGTTATTTATGATCTATACAATGTTTAACTAATTGTATAATTGTGTGTGAATATGATTGACGATTATTAACAAAATAAAATACATAATATATACGTTATGCTTCCTCACGCACGATCAGCACACTTTTTGAATTTTTATGAACCATTTTATCAAAAATAGAGTTTTCAGAACGTTCATTCGTGCACACTCAAGATTTACGATTATAGTCAGCGATATAGTCTATGATAAATCCTTTTATTTATCTAGTAGTCTTTGTTTAAGTTCCGATAATGTCCTAGTTGAAATACCACGAGAAAAAATTGCTATATTTAACGTGATTACAGTTGTAAGATATTCAAAACTATATATTTAGTTTGAAGAATTTCAGTGAACATCCGTATGCGTTTTGAACCAGAGTTCAAGACAGATCGAGTTGAAAGGTTTTTCTTTCAGATTTATCACGACACAAAAATGAAGTCGAACTATGACATTTTGTGAAAAGATTGTTTTCAACTGAAAGAATACAACTACTGTAAAGAATGTCACAACGAAATCAAGCAACTGCAATAGCGCTCAGAAGGGAAAGTAGTCAAACGTCGACGGTAAAATGTCGACCGAAAAAAAATGTCGACAATGTAAAAGGTCGACATCATGAAATACAAAGAAAAGAAGCAGATGATGAAAAAATAAAATTGGAGCATGAATAAATTAAATTTATGGTTTATTAGGTAAAATTCGAATACATGTCAATGAAAAATAAAATAAAAATGCATATGAGTGAGAACGAAGAGCTAGAGTCATACATGTACCAACACATTCGTATAATTTTCATTTTGTGCCGACAATATCGCGAACGACATTACCGCGAAGACTCGTTTATTAGAAAAGAAGAATAAATGAGCCTGGTTTTGTATTTTATATATCATGTTGCGGGAGATGGGGAGGGGGAAGGGCATTGTGAGAGTGAGTTCGAAAACTAGTTTCACACAAAACATATTTTCATGATGCGCTATTAGATATTTGTGACTGTGTCAGATAATCACTTAACTTCAGTTAAGTTTGAAAACACGATGTACAAAATAGAAAAGCGGCCTCATTTATTGGTCTTTTCCAATAAACAATTGTTCGCGGTAATATCGGTGTATCGATGGTACATGGATCTCAGTGCTAGAATGTTTAGGCACCCTTCCAAATGTCTAGAAGTCATTCTGAGAGAAAGTGATTCACGGGAATTGCTTTCTACAGGTAACAATTTACTACTGTACAACAATTTTCTACTATCGACAATTTACCTGTCGACATTTTATCTATCGACATTTTTTTGTCGACGTTTTGTTGTCGACATTTTGTTTTCGACATTTGTCTACCTAATCGCTCAGAAAACCTATTTTATTCGATTCTTCATTAAGCGTAAAAGACTGCCATGTTCCGTAATCTTATTATGACGACAGTTATGTAAAGAAATTTCATACCGAATCGGTGTGTAATTGCATGATTTAATGGGTTTTGGCACGACTAGTCACTCTCTTGACAAACACTTATTTCCGAAGAGAATGTGTTGTTTCTGATATTCGTATGATACCCGACGTAATATATGGTAACACATGCCAGCGTACATGCCTAAAAAGACCTATTTCGTACAGATTATCGAACAAGAGGTAAAAAGAAGACTTATGTTGCAGTTAATTGGAAGACTTTCAAGTTAAACAGAATTGGCGTAGGTAATCAGAAGCCTAGGAATCTATGGGTCTACCTGGGCTTTTGTGATCTTATAGACTTTACTGGACTTGTAACAGTCCAGTGGTTTTTAAATCCATGTAAGTGAATCAAACTTTGGATTCTAATATACTTTAAAAGTCCATCTAAGTCTACATAAGATTTTTCATACATCTGAGTTTGTTCAACAGATGTAGTGAAAAATGTGCACCTATGTCGGAAAGCAAAATTGTTTTTGTGTGATCACGCAAAAAAAAATTTGGGTTTTGGTGGCATGGATGATTAATGATGCGCTAAACTGACACTTTTTCAGAAGTCGAAAATAAGCGGCGATTCAACAGCAAATTGAAGTTAAACATGAAAACTGGCATTTTGTTGGCTTGAAAATTTAACTGGTCTCCGATTCATTCCTTTTTTCAAAAATATCGTAAAATCATTGAACCATCATTGAGAAGAACATACCGTAGTGAATGTACTCGAAGCCATGTAGTTGAAAAGTGCTTGGTACAAGCAATGAAGTATTTCACAAGACTCTGAGATATTCCACAAAAAATTTCATTTACAAGTACTCTGAATTATTTACTTTTCAAGTAGTTGCTCAAGTACTTAGATCCAAGTAAATTTACTTCAAAAACTTCAGTCAGATACTTATTCCATTTATTTATTTACTGCAGCCATACGCTTCTTTTGTAGAGCGGACGCATGCAAAACTATCAAGTTTAACGAAGTATATATCTAAATTTATTTTGCAATTTTGTTCTACGGGCTTACAACTTGTCAATGTGAAACAAAATAGTGAACGACCCGCCTAGGTAGTTGGCTGAAGCGAATCAAATAACGATACTCGGCGAGTACTTAGAGAAGAACTTGGCAAGTAGAAACACTTCGAAATTTCAATCCAAATGTTTAGTAAGTGCGAAAACTTGACAAACACTTCCCAGTGACTCGGTAAGTAATCAAGTACATTCACTACGATATTGCTTGCTGAGGAGAGTAAAAAAATGTGCTTATTTCGTATGCTTTCTCGTTATTTAAAGAAAAAAAGATTCCAGAATTAAACAAGGAAGGTCTACAAATGATATTTTATCTTTTGTTCTATTCGTTTATAATCTATTGGAATTAGTGAGTTATTCGCTGAAACAGCGCCCTCTGCAGTGTATTATAACAAATATCTCGGTAATTCTAACGGGTGTTTACAAAATAAAAAGAGGGGATATTCAATTTAGTCGTGTTATCAAGGCCGTGGCGAGAGGAAAAATCAAGGATGTGTAAATTTTTGGGAGAAAAGTTAAAAGATTATGAGAGACAGGTAAAATGGATTTTAATACTCCAAAAAATTTTTGGGAGAAAGTAATAAATTCCAAAAGCAGAGAGGACGTACACTCCCTTACATCTGCCTATCGCCACGGCCATGGGCGTTATTTAATTAAAAAATTTCCATTCAATCATTCATTTTGGAACATATTTTAAAACTGTTCTTGTCTATCTGTAGAAAATTACAATCGAAATAAAACACAATGGTACCGAATCAAAACAGGTTAGGATAAGCTTTCAGTAAAATTTCTTTCATTGAATGCTAGGAGTAATGTGACTGACGTTGTTACTGGCGCTCAGTGAAAGAAATTTAACTGGAAGCTCATCTTGACTATTTCATTTGTGGATGAAGATATATTGCTAAATGTTTGCTTTCTGATTCGTCTGTTTTTGATCGTGTAGAATTTTTGCCACTTGTCTAAACAACTAGCACAGCAAGCCAAACGGAAAAAACGGTGAAGCAAATAATATAAAATGAATTTGTGTCATGTTAGTGGATCAATTGGTTTAGAACAAAATAGTAAATAGACAACAGTTGTGAGCACAGATTCTAGATCTTCTGATTATTGATGTGTTTTTCTGACTTTAAATTTTTTTTCATATTTTAAATGAATTGAAAGATGACGTATACAAAGTGACATTACTTATGCGCGAATGATAGGACAATCTTATTCCAATATTTTTCTCTAAATTTTGTTTGTACATACGATCGGTCCACCTAAAGTTCAATTTTTGCTTATTGAAAGAAGGTTTTTTTTATCAGTAGTTTTAGAAGAGAATGAAGAGTAAAAGAAATATCTAAAAGTATCTTGTGCAGGCGTCAATCTCTCTTGTGTTAGTGGAAAGAAGAAGTCCACTGTCTTCTGCTTACTATGGAAACACCGCTCTTGCAATAGGAATCTTCTCTTTATATAGGATCTATGTAAGATATAACTGAAGCTCCATTTTTGAAGGTGTTGATCTTCTTTTATTAAAATCTATGGAAATGCAGCAGCAGTAGCAGATGGTTTTTTAACTGTTAGGTTAGAATAGATTGATAGAAACTAAGAACGAAACTTAAAGACAAACTCTTAGTAAAAAAAAACAGCAGGAACATCTCTTTTAACGCAATCTACTCGAATAGTGCGGAGATTCAGTCAACAACTAAACTCTTGAGGAAAATAATTAATGGATGAATCTTCAAATTGGAACATTCTGAATTTTCTTTCGTTTCTAAAATTAAAAACCCAAACTGATGTTCTGTAACATAAATAATCGTTGAACATTTTTGAACATTGATATGATTTTCTGAAAAATAAAATCTATATTTTTGTTTTTGTTTATAAAATCAGTTATGTTTTCCTAAATATCATAACATTCTTTTGTGATTTTTTTTTTTGAAGTGGAACAAATTAAAAAATAAATTGATATTACTATTTAATATGAATAGATGCACAATACTTGATACATTGAGTTTTGATACGAAGTGAATATTTTACGTTGAAAATCAAATTTCACCCTGAAAACTCTTTGATTTCTCTTCTTTTTTTTCTGATAGAAAATCACCATCGAAAACTTTCATTTTTACTTGAAACAGAGAAATTTCAGAAACACTGAAACAGATTTTGCTCGTAATCGTTTATGGATATGATCCATTTAAATATTTTCATCGTCTTATTGGGATTTTTCTTCAAGTTTAATCTTTCATGGGTGTTTTGTTTTTGGTTAAATTCTCTACATTGTCGAAAAACTTATTTTTTTAGATCTATATATTTTTATTTTGTATTGTTAAAAATGACTTCGTCTGTAAGAATTATTAGAATTCTTGGTTTTATCAAAAGAAATATTCATATTTTTTTCTGTACATTTAGGCACGAAGGAAAAAATCCAATCGAATGGAAGTGGATAGTGAAGCTGATAGTCAAGTAAAACACGAACATATCTGTTTTTTCAAATTGTATTCATAGACGAATAACCGTGTCAAAAGTAAAATTTGGTTTCTGTTTTTAAGAATGATGTTGAAGATAATCCTGAAGCAAGATTGCAATTGAGATTAGATTATCGTAGTATTATTGATGATTTAAACAGTAAGTAGAATATACGGGAATACATCATATTAAAGAAACAGCGCCAGTTAATTATTTATTACACATGACTTCATCTTGTGACATTTTCGTGTTATTTTTTCCATATTTAATGAGTTTATTAGTCTTTTACAGTCTATTCTTACTCATTTATGTGGTCTATGACTTTGTACAATGTTTTCCCGTTTAGGTAACCGAAAAGATTATCTCAGTTTGGAAAGTGACGCATTGGAAAAGAAAATCGATGATTGTAATCGTGTATTTGAAAGAGGTAGATATATATTTCTTTATTTTCTTTTTAAATTAAATACACAATTTTCAAGAAAAATGAGAGCTTAGCATTACAAATGTGTACCTTTTTTCTTCTCATGTAACTTATACGTTTGTTTCATTTTTCGAACATTAAGACAAACAGTTTTCTCGAACGAGTCATTACTATCTTAAGTAATGTTACTTACGTATTATAGACACTAAATGTTTTATTTTTCTCAAAAATCTCACATGTTTTTGTTTTAGTTCGTATGCCACGCGAAGGTGTATTGGATGCTTCGGCTTTAAGAACAATTACAACATTCGCAAATATGCGAATTCGACAACTAGATGAGAAAGGCAGTCTTGAAAATGCCTATGCATTTGCACAAAAATGCGTAAGTTGGATACTATTTTAATCTATATCTTATATTGTTGAACGTATGTGTCTTGTTTTTAGAAAAAAGTGGTAGACAATATGAGCGGAGGTTGGTCTGAGTTTTATGAAATATTCTCTCAATATCACAAAGTTGCACCATCTATGAATTTTATGTAAGTAAACATCTTCCGAAACAAATAGTACACTGTATTTCTCATGTTAGTATTATTTTCGTGTAATGTTAAATCAATTTATGATGTTTAGGTCTGGACGTTTACCAACAACGTTCTTTGCGACTGAAACATTAGAAAAATTAAAAAATCGTAAAAAACAAATACGTGAACCAAAACAAACAAAAGAAGATTTAGAAAAATCACGTACAGTACCAGAAGAAGTATATTCATGACTTTTTGGACTTTAGTTTCGTTTGAAGTTCTATTTGATTGTCCATCTATAGATGAATCAATTTGGAAAAGAAGTTGGTGAACAAACATTAACCGAAATTTTAAGGATCAAATCAATTTTAGTCAAATCATTCAAAGAAAATAAAGGTAGTTAGCAGTACCAGAGAGAATAATCTCTCAGAATCAATTATTTTTTCTAAAGTATACAAAAGTAGACCATCGAAACATAATTTTATTTCGTTTCTATTTTACTCATAAATGTTGTGCCCTACACATCTACGACAAAAAGCATAGATCGCGATCAAGCACTTGATCCCTGTAACAAATCATTTCAAAGTATTTTTGTTGGTAATCACTACAAACACATTTCAATTCGACAGTCAACTGGTGTGTTTAAATGACTGCACTATTTTTCTGACATCGAGGACGATTGTACGGTCGTTTATTCTAACTTAGATATGAAAAAATAGACATTTCAATTATAAAGTGAGCTCTACATAGAGCATACAAGCTTACTATACATACTGTTCTTATGTCTTGTATTTAACTTTTCACTTTTTCTTTGTTTCTTTAGGACAACGATTTGATTATTTCGAATTTGTTGTTCATCCAGAATCGTTTGCACGAACAGTTGAAAATATGTTTCACATATCATTTTTGATCAAAGTAAGTTATCAAACAAAATGAATGTGTGCAGTGTGCTCTTTATGTATTTATTATCTTTTATTTTATAATAGGAAGGTTATGCACGATTATTTCTGGATAAGGAAGAATTACCAGCAATTGGTAAGTAGACAGCTTTTTTAGATTTCCCATATAGGTTGTTAGACTCACTAGGGATCCAACTGTCTAATCGCTTTTTGATCGAGACCTAGTGGGTTATAGGTTATAGACCACGCTGATTCTGAATATCCATATGAGACGAGCTGTTAGCCTTTCCTAGCACGGTTTTCTGGACAACCAGTTTTTCAGAAACCTCGAAAAGTTCCTAAAACTTTCCTCTTAATAGATCGCGATTGTAGGCCGCGCAATTCTGATCAAAATGAGACATATCCCACCTCTACATGGCCTTTCTTTGCAAAGTTATAGAATTTAGAAGAAAAGCCCTGAATGTTCATTGTCAGCTTAAAGCTACAAAAATAAGAAATTAATTTACGATTTTGTAATGTAATTCTATAACTTTACAAAGAAAGGTTCTGTAGAGGAAGGAGGTGTCTCATTTTGATCAGAATTTCGTGGGCTACAATCGTGATCTACTAAGAGAAAGTTTTAGGGACTTTTCGAGGTTTCTGGAAAACCAGTTAAGACTTTCTCCTGATGAAAATTCCCCTGATTTGAGGGGCTGATTTTTAAGAATTTCTCCTGATTTTCAATTGTTTTCCTGCATCGATTTTATTTTTTCCAAAACTGAGATTATCAGCTTCAGAAACAGAATTTCTCAATCAAGAGTCTAAATAATTGTACACTGAGAGGGTCCGCTGTGTGCTTATCGAATGTTCGCATCACAAGAAGACGAGATTAGTAAACTTCCAAACTCACCGAATCAAAATCTTCTTCCTCAATCCGTACTGCAGTCTGTAACAAACGATAATACCGTTTCATCAAAAAATATTTCAAAAACAAAAATTTTTTTGAAAAATTTATTGAATATTTTTGTTTTGCTTATCCAAGAAAAAACTGTCTAATACTCGTATGTTTCTCTCCTGATTTCGAAAAACTGAGTTTGGGCACCCTGGTTAGACTCTACAGAGACATTCTAATGATAAAATCATGATTTTTCTTCAAAATGGGCCTTTTCTTTACCATATTTGATAGAAAGATATATTGAAATGAAAGTAAAGTAGAGGCACTTAGATACTGTTTAATCAGCTAGAAAAGTCATATGATCATCCAAGAAGAATCTTTGTCATAAAGAAATGAATAGACTCCAATTTTATGTTAGAAATTTTATTAGCAGCGTTAAGTTATCTATGACTTTTCCATTTTAAGAGCCAACAGAGAAAGCATTATTTAAATCATCACTCAACTCATCGACGTCGTCACAACAACGATCTCAAAATTCGACAATACATTCTAATCAAATGATCATGTCATTTACAGTGGAAGATTGGGAGGTAAAAAGAAAATACTATCTAACCGCTTATTATAGCCTTTCGTCACATTCGGCGTATAGGTTTTTGTACAACTACTGAGATTAAATTGATTAGTTCTATATTCTATTTAATTTAGGAAGTTAAGAAAACATTTGAAATTGTTGTACCAATGATTCCTGATAAATAAAACTGCGATATCATTTTTGTATTATTGTTTTATCGTATGTGTATGTGTGTGCTGAAATGATTTAGTTTATTATATGTACATTTTTGTATAGCGTCTATTCTCTATTGTTGTTAATTGTCGTTGTTTCTTGTTGATAATACGCAATTAGTCGTCGTTCTCTTTCATTCCTTATAGATTTTTTCTTACTTGAAGGTTAGAATCAAAATAATATTTTGAAATTGATCTTGTTTTTATTGTATTTATCCGCTTATGCGTCTTTACAAACAGTTTCTCTTTGTCTTTCAAAAATCAAAACTAAAGTGGTTATCTAAACCTTTCAAGTCAAAGAAGATTAAACCATGGACGACTAAAACTAATGTTTAAAAAAGCGACCATTGTTTGTATTCTTGAATTAACTATTATTAACTATTAAGTTTTACACCGGACCGGGCCGGCCGGTAACTGGCTGGTCTGCCGGCTCGGTTACAACTCTGCTATGTCAAAACATGATCAATAATTAATGTGTATTAGAATTCACTACGGCTTTGAGTCTGACGTATCTTGAGGATTCTGTATCAAGATCTTGCGATACAATGATAATGTAAGACACACTATTCGCACTACGAATAAATGAAATATAAAATATAAAAATTAATAAAGCTCTGCTCATTACTCTCTCTATGTCCCATAGTTGTAACCGGTCTAAAAATAAGGGATCGAGCCGGGCCGGCCGATTCAAAACAGCAGACCGAACCAAAAATCTTTTTAGACCGGTGAAAAACCGGCACAAGACCGGCCGGTCTACCGATCACAACTCTGCCGATCGGTTTTCATATATTTTCTAGACGGACAAAAGGGTAGAAAAATTCATCTCTTTTTAGTGAAGAAGAGAAAAATGGTAAGGATTTAAAAACCGGTCAATCACCGGCCGGTTTGAAAATATTTCTAGACCGGCAAAAGACCGGTCGGTCTAAAGTTTTACACCGAACCGGGCCGGCCGGTGACTGGCTGGTCTGCCGGCCCAGTTACAACTCTGCTATGTCCAAACATGATCAATTTGTATCACAATTAATGTGTATTAGAATTCACTACGGCTTTGAGTCTGACGTATCTTGAGGATTCTGTATCAAGATCTTGCAACACAATGATAATGTAAGACACACTATTCGCACTGCGAATAAATGAAAAATTATCAAGTCCGTTATATGGACATAGCGTTTGATTGAACAGCTTCGGTATTGTCTGAACGGTATCATAAGAGCTGCAAACTGAGCAGTACTGTTGGTACGGTACACTACTGCAGACGTAGCGCTGTAGAATACCGTAGATGAAAATAAAAAACAACGGGAAATAATACCTTACGAATTCAAAAGGCTGTTCAAAATTTCATCAAGATTCTGTGCAGATAGAAAAACCTATCAAGATTCTGACTGACTAGTGAATGAGCATGTTAAAATCTGAGTTCGCCAATCGATAGAGCTCGTCGAGCTGAGTACAGCAACGCCTAAAGAACACCAAAAAAAGTTTTTACTGTTTCGCTTTTTAAGCATACATTTCCAATGAACACCCAAAAAAAATAAGAGCACCTAAAGCTATGTGTCAAATTTAAGTCCACAGTTAAGCTAAATTTTAAACTATTGAATTTTTCCTTTAAAGTTTTTCAGTTTGCAGAGCACATCTCGAAATGTATATCGTGAATCTTTTTTGGGCTTACGGTCATTAGTTGACTGAGAAAACATTTACTTACTCTCAACATCTAGGCTGATTTCGAGAAAAAATGTATTTTTTTGAAGTATCATATGTTGACGTATAAGATTGCAAAAGAAAAGTAGCCATGTTTAGGCTATGAAATTCTCCATCAGACGAGGTTTAGCTCGATTTGTAACTTATGTTGAATAGTTATTTTACAATACTGCTGTAAGAGAGTGAAGTGAAATAAAGCAATGTTAACCAACGCTAATTAGTCATCAAAAGAAGAAAAGATCGAAAATGTTTACCTTTTTGAGCGAAAAAAAAGCTATTGCACAAGTAAATGGATGTGAGTTTTAGCTATCTATTCATGTAAAGACTTTCTCAAAATTCATTGAAGTTAATTAGTTTCATGAGTTTTTCAGCGCTTGTCAACCGCTGATCGAAATTAACTCAAATGGGTAATTCCGATTAACGCCACCATCACCGAAGTAATACAGCTTTTGCTCAACTATGAATGTTCACGTTCTAATTAAAACTTAGCACATCTTGTAGGGAATTTTGTGTACTTTACAGCCACGTGTTTGATAATCCGAGATCATCTTTTCTTAATTAATTGATGAAAAACAACATGAAAAGAAAAAACTTCATTTGACCTAAATGCAAGGCTTGCATTTAGGTCAAATGAAGTTTTTTTGCATTGCAAGCACACTATCAAATCTACTGGAGTAATTTCGATCAGTCCATATTCAACAAGGCTGTGTGAAAAAAGAAAAAGAAGTAGTCAGTTCACAATTAGCCTCATAAACAGGTTGATCGGTTTTATTGTCATCGAAGCTTAGATTTTTAATCTATTAGTTGATTCAAATTTACAAGAATTTGGGAAAGATTTACGAGAACTAATTAATATTAATCGACAAACAAGCGTGATTGCTAACTGCATTCCTTGTCGTAAAGACGACAGTATACATGACGACCGCAGAATCCTGAATCAAGTTCAATAGAAAAATAGATCTTTTGACAGAAAAAAAATTCTGCATAGTTGAGAAAACAATTTCACCGTGAATTACTGTTTCCCGCAGAAAAATTGAAATTCTCAATGAAAAAATATTTTTCCGCACGAGCTTTCGAATCACGCTTTTTTTTCTACTGACGAGTGCAATCGCGATGCGCCATTTCTATATAAATATGCTTGAAAAAACTTCTATGTGTGCCGATGAACTGTTAGTTCATTGCACGATTGTATCTCCCAGGCCGAATTCATCCGATCGGATCCTATCAGGTCACTTAAGAACTCGGCTATTTCCAGCGATCAGACGCCGAAATTCTTTACATTCGAACACTTTTCTGATGATTTTCGGTGGCCGGCGTTCGACCGAATACCTGTGACCGGATCCGATCGGTTCTGCCATTGGATCCATTAGTTTCTCGTGGCGCAAATTAAAAGAGTTCTCTTAAAAAATCGATAGTTTATTTTAAATGTGAGCAAGATGAAGATACTAATCTGCTAAATGCCAGTTTTTCCTTCTGTCGACAAAAACAGTAAGCAGGAACATTTAAGAAACATGATCATATTGAAAGCGACATCTCTTCTCCTTGACTGATGTTTGTAGGAAAAGTTGAAGGCCGTTGGATGACTCTCTTCTCTGTTTTGAGTTTTTTGCGACGTTTTTTCCAAGAACGAACAGCGTTGCCACTTGTTTCTATTTTGTTTGTGACTTATAGCTAGTTTCCAGTTGCATTAGAGAGCTAGTAAGATGCATTACTCATAAGATTCTTCTTATCTGTCTTGTTATCACTTGTCATTTACTATTTTGTTTTTGAGATTTGTCATTTGCTGCATACGAGAAAAAAGGAAAAATAAGTATAAAATGATATAAATTCTGTGCACGTAAAAAATGTAAAGAATATTCTAACAGTTTCTCCTTTAGTCATTCACATTGTACAACTTATGTAACAAGATAAAATACAATTTACTGTAGTGTTATATCAATACTAGGTATGCCTTTTACAGTCGAAATGAGTTAGTTAACTTGTTTTGAACATTTTTTCTCAATCAGTATGCCCTATTGCACCATCCGATGATCTGGTTGAGAGCTGTGATCAGATCACTGAAATATAAAAAGAACAGCACTAATTGTCTGATCAATAAGACACTAATGTCCACTGACCCGAGACAACTTGACAATGATAAAGTGTTTCTCGTACTTTTTTTAGAGAAATTTGATTTACTATCAAACTTCAATTTAGACAGTAAAAGTGCAAATATTGTTGAGACTTGTAATATTTTTCAGCAAAATTACCGAGTATAATGCTAATTTTATACTAAAATCCGATAAACCGGGGATGATAATAGGCCGACGCCTCACGTATAACGGCATCCTAAAAACTTTTGTCTGCAACGCGTATTAGAACGTTCTATTGTGTCCAGAGATTTTTTTCTTCTCTTTCGTCCGATGATCCCACGCTTTCCCTGTTACTCTGTTACCAATGGAGTATAGCAAGAGCACAGAATAGATACAGGTGTATGGCATGACTGCATATCTGCGGCGATAACTTTTTGAAAAAAAATATCTGATCGAAAAACTTTTTTTAAACTTTAGACACAATCGAACGACACCCCATAGAGAAAAAACCTTGATGTGCCAGGACACAACAGAACGACATATCGTTTATTATGGCTCCTGTTCAGTAAATCTATAAAAGGTTTATTAAAGTTATCTTAAAAACCTTTTTTTTCTGTTTAACCCGAAAATGATCACAAATTTTTTTATTTATTTGTTTCGACACACTTCGATATTTGGCAGACAATGAACAACTTCTCAGGACGCTAAATTAATAGATGAACTCACAATATGATAAAGCTTTTAACTCCGGATTGCATTTTCTTGTTTTTCTCATGTTTACGAACACACACTAGTCCTAATAAAGAACTTGTTTTTCTCCATTGAACCATTATTAATTTGAGTTATAATTCAAGAACTGCTTGAATTGTTGAAAATCTCCTATAAAAAAATGTATATGAAAGGCTTGGGCATAGAGATGTGCACGGGTTCCATTTTCGTATCCGTACCCGATCCGTAATCGACTGATACCTAAACATTTTCTCCTTTTTGTTTTTCAGCTAAAAGCTCTTGTTTTTCGGCTGGAGATGTCAAATTACCATTACGTTCTCAAGTAATTCTATTTTAAACCTTCACGTATGCTAGCTAAATTTTTGTATTTTTTCACTAAAATTTTGTGGATTTTTCACTCGAACCTTCCGGTTTTCGGGTAAGTAAGTAAAAAAATAGAACCTGTACCCGTAACTGCTCTATCCGTACCCAACCCATATCCGACAACTTCGTACCCGTACCCAACCTTCGGATCGAGTCGAATACGGGTCGGGCACGGGTCAGGTTGCACATCTCTACTTGGGCATCACGTACTTTGCTTCAACAGCGCGATACTGTACAATGTACACTGTACATTACACAGCACCAGAGCAGAAAGGAAAAAACACTGTACGTCTTTTTCCGATAAAAAAGATACATGTTGGAAAATAGATGAGTGAACCGTAACCGCAAAATATCTTTTGATTTGTTTTCTAGTGACAAGACCCAAATAAAACTCGCACGTATTTTTCTTTGATCCGATCCGAATCAATATTTTTTACCTTAACCCGAACCAATATTATTTATATTGACCCGAACCCGACCCGACCGTCAAACCGATACATATGGGATGAGCATGAAAAAAAAGAGCTAAGAAACTAAACTCACATAGAAAGGGAAAAAAATATCTGCTAACAATGGTCTTACATAATTTTTCTCAGTTGCGAAAAGGTAAAGTGTTCGATCTGTGTAACACACATGCTTGTACACCTCAACAAGGTCTGTTTGATCACACATAAGATGCTGTTACAACGTCTACAATTGACAAAAAAAATATTTATATTACTGGTTCTTAGTCTTTGTTAATTCTTACTGTCCATTAATGCGTGGAAAGGGGTGGATAACCATCCTCAAAAACTGACGCTTCTTTGATCAAAAACTAAAAGAAAGAAGTACAAAAAGTACATAGCTTTGATACACACTGAGAAAAAATTTTGAGATGTGTCGGGCTGATTTCTAAAATAAATTCATCTCTTTCGGTGGATAGTGCCGTTTTCTTTGACAAATCAATTTATCTTTTACAACAAACTTTGTATTTTAGGCGATGGAAGCTATGGAGATTGAATCAGTTCACGTGGATTCAGAGGAATTGACATCTACTAATTTATATCATGCTTGCGAAAACAATAATATTGAACAAGTGATGCGTTATATTGAATCAGCAAATATCAATGATATAATTAATGAAAAATGTCATCCAAGTGGAAGTACTGCCCTACATATTGC